TTGACACGCTGATGCAACTGAGAAATGTATTCCACTGATCATCGTTTCTAGAATAACTGCTTCAATCTTCCTAGCTGTTCATATAAAGTTAACCTGTTTGTTTGCATGGCTTTCAGGTTATGATAAGGTAATGATTCTGATACGCGACCAGTTAAAAAGAAAAGAAGGTGTCAAAATATTTAAATCATTGGGATCCATTGATAAAGCTGTTAATCGTCTTGAATTCACTACACTCTCCACCTGAGAAACCACTGTGCAAAAACTCTCGATTGTTAATGTGTTAGGTGCAGAAGTCAATATTCTTGATGAATGATGCTTTGCAGACCCTATTCCTGCTTCCTAGATGCGCCCTTGGTGAGGTGATAAGCAGGGATAAAGAAAAGATCCATGTTATATCAAGCGAGGTGCTCAGTTGAACATCAATGCCATCCTTACTTGACCTAATTCCCTTAATTGATTATTGGCTCTTGCGAATTTACTGTCATCGACGGAATAAACATGTGATGGCTTGCCTCTCCGAGCAATGAACCTTTGAAATACCTACCTTCAAAAATGCCATGCCATCAGTAACAAGTTCAAGATGAGCTGCCTCGACTGCCGAGCAAATAAATAAGCAAAAAAAACACTTCAAATGCCTTTACGGTCCTTATAATGAAATGTACCAGCATAATTCACACCAACATTTGCGAATGGCACACTTGGAGAAATTCGCGGATGAGAGAAATCGCCCATTATTGGATTCACAAATTTAGGTTTAAACCTAAAACACAATATGACCTTGCATTTTTTGGGACTTACACCTCAATTGAAAATGTTGCCAGAAGTTTCTTAATCTTGAAACGAATTGCTACAAGCTCTCTGATTAGAGACTATTTTACCTTTCAAATTATTTTCATAAAATAAAATACTCGAATCGAGTTATAATTTATTTTAATAAAATAATACTTGATTAGGCTTGGATGACTTCTGGACTTTTTCCTGACGTTTCGGTACCAAATCTGCTACCGTTGTCAAAGCGAAGGATGAAATACCTGAAAAATAAAAAAGGGAGAAAATTGTTCGTATTTTTCGTAAATTTGTTCGAGAACTCGAATTTGAGTTATCAAGCAAAAATTACAAAGAACATCTCACACTTCTTATGGATTTCGGTCACCGACAGATTTTGTTGAAACTTTGGTATATTATTTTAGAAGTCGGAATAAGCATTTTCTTTCATTGCACCGATCTAGTAGCGATACAGGGTGATACTATAAAAATAGGTCAAAGTTTTTTTTTTTAAATTATCTACTGGTAAAATATTGTAATCAACTTTGGTTGATAAAATAAAAACAATATATAGGAGCTCCATAAAAAATGATATTTTAATTTCTAGCATGTACAGGGTGGTCCAATTTGAACACTTTTAATAGGAAAAGCTTCATAACTTTCTTATTCATGGAAATAATTGATTTCCGTAAAATACTTTCTAAAAGCACTTTTTATCGGCTTGTTAGCTTGATGAGCCACTTTCTCAAGATTTTTCTAAAGATCATCCATAAAAGAATATACGCAAAGTGCGAGTCCTTCACGGGCGAATCCCAATTTAGTTTTCGTAATGGTTTTGGCACAAGAGAGGCCCTGTTTAGCATCCAAGTGCTAGATCAAATATCTAGAGATGTTTCTGTTCCTGTATACGCATGCTTCGTAGACTATGAGAAAGCATTTAACAGGGTACAACATGAGAAGCTCATGAAAATTCTCAAGGATGTAGGCCTAAATGATAGAGAACTAAAGATTATTGCAAATCTCTACTTGAATCAAACTGCACAAATCAAGGTGGACCAACAAATGTCTGACGAAGTACGGATAAAAAGAGGTGTTCGGCAGGGTTGCATCCTTTCACTATTACTTTTTATTATTTATTCGAACATAATATTTGAAAAAGCATTAGAAGACTGCACTGAGAGAATTACTATCAACGGCGTGAACAATAACAACCTTCGATATACCGACGATACGGTTTTAGTCGCTGATTCTCTGGAAGGTCTTCAAGTATTACTTGATCATTTGGCTACTGAATTTGGATTGAAATTGAACGCCAAAAAAACTAAATGGATGGTGATTAGTAAGAACCAGGTTGGAGGAGGTATTCTAAAGGTACAGAACCTACAGATCAATCGGGTCCAATCATACAGATACCTAGGATGTCAGGTTATTAATGAAGACTGTGATAATATGCAGGAGGTTTGTGCCAGGATTGAACAAGCCAGAGCAGCATTTATAAAAACGAAGTCCGTGTTGTGTAGTCAGGTCTCTCCGCTCTACGTTCGCACTTGGGTCCTACGTTGATACGTCTTCATTATTCTCTATTACGGGATTGGGGCGTGGACTCTAACAGACGCCATGTGTAAAAAGCTAGAGGCTTCTGAAAGGTGGACATATAGACGAATGTTTAAAATCTCTTGGACGAACAAAGTACGCAATGAAGATTTGCTAACGAGAATGTCACAAAACTTGAAGTTATGTTCACGCTTGAAAAGCGAAAGTTAGAGTACTTTGGACACATACTCAGGAATAACAAATACCTACTTCTCAAGATCATAATCGAGGAAAAATCGAAGGCAGGAGAGGCCCTGTATATCGAAGAATATCTTCGCTAAAGAATTTGCATCATTGATATGGCGAAACCATGACAGGTCTATCAGAAAAGCAGTCGACAAAATACAGATAGCGCTGATGATTGCTAACGTTCTTAGAGTACAGGACAAGGCACTTTAGGAAGAAGAAGAATGATATAAAGTTCAATAGGTTAATCTCTAATAGTTTTCGAGAAAAAAAAAAATATGTACTATGTTTTTGTCATAAGAAACAATGTGTTGGATTACCTTTCTCATTTTCCTTACAAATAGAAAGTCCTTTTCTAAAACGAAGGTTCTCATGACAAAAACGGATTTTGAATTTTTCTGTTAAAATAAATCTTAAAGATAAACCTATCGAACTTTACATCATCGAAATCAGCAAAAGCAGGGCTATCCAATGAGTTATTAGAATATAGGGTTTCCTATCTAGAAAAATCGAACTATGGTCAATATCTCGGAATACTGGCAGAATACCAAAAAACTGGGAACGTCATCAGATTCTGCTTGAAAAAGTGCTTTTAGAAAGTTTTGACGGAAATCAATTACTTTTATAAATAAAAAAGTTGTGAAGCTTTCCCTATTAAAAGTGTCCAAATTGGACCAACCTGTACACGCTAGCGATTAAAATAACATCACTTTTGGAATATATAAGTATTGTTTTATTTTTAGAAAAATGCCTGATTTTATCAACCAAAGTTAAATTATCTACAATATTTATTTCACAGTAGATAATGAAAAAAAAAATCTTTGACCTAACTTTTTAGTATCATCCTGTATCGCTACAAGGTCGGTGCAATGAAAGAAAATGCTTATTTCGACTTCTAAAATAATATACTAAAGTTTCAACAAAATCTGTCGGTGACCGAAATCCATAAGAAGTGTGAGATGTTCTTTGATTAATGTCGTGTCAGACTTTTGCCAATAATCATATTTAGGAAATAATGGTATTTTATAGAGGTGAGATTTTCAATTATTCTTCAATTTACCTTGTTTTACCTCTGATTCAAGCAAAGGAAGCCAAGTATTGCTAAATGATGTTGAGCGTGAAGCAACACATTCGTCTTTATTTAATAAAATTAATGCGCTCTCTTTAATTTTTCGTGTTTCTGAAAAAGGTTCCTTTTGCCTAAAACACAATACGCAATCTCTGACAATCCTTTTGGCAAGCATCTTGCCAGAAATAGGCCAATACTTTTCATGTCTATTAGTGAAGTTTAGAATGCTCATAAATCAAAATAAGGTGAGTCGAGTGATGCTTGGAACTTAGCAGAATCGGATGCTTCATGACAAATGGAGCTAGACTATTGTGGAATTTCCTATTTCACCAACACAGAAATTACCGACGAGACTCTGATCCTCAGAAAGTTTACAAATGTAACCTTTTGAGATAGTTTTGCTAATAGAGTCGGACCACATTGCTCCAATTTAGGTATACTGATTGCCTCGAGGGTTTTTGAAGTGAGTAAGTGAATGGATGCATTGCTTAATGAATCAATGCTCCATATGCGTATTGAGAGGCGTCTGAGAATATAAGAAGCATATCTGGAAATTACCAAGGAATTGAGATCAATAAGCTCAGTTCGGAAGGATTGACGCCTATTTGCAACTTTTTGTGAAACTTCATCGTCCCATCCTAATTGCAAGGACCATAGTTGTTGCAAAGTTGTTTTCGATTGTACAGTCTGTGATGCTGGGAACTGGGAACAATCAAACAATGCAGTTTCGTTTGAAAGTCAGAACTAATGAATTTCATCTGAAAATCACATGCCCTTGATACGGGTGCTTGAACACTATCAATACTACTAATATTTTTTGAAATATAGTTTGACATTGAACTAATAGTGTCCTACATCCATGAACATTACCATTTGAATCCTTCACCTCAGTTGAACCTGTTGCTAACAAGACTTGGCCTTGCCCTATAAGACCAAAACTAAAATTCTGAGATTCAAAGTGACCTGAAGAATATTGAGATTCTGAATCTGAACACTCTACATTGCCTTCAACGATCTGAGCTGATCTCTCGAAAGAATTGAAATTCGAGGTTTGAGCTACATTAGCTAAAGTTTGCTCATTTGAAGGGTGTAATAGTGAGTTATGCTTTTCGTTGAAGAACGACAATTAAAGAATTAATTGTCATGTATTTCCGAATGACTTACATAGACCACCAATATGTTCTCGTCATTGTTATTTTTTCAGTTGAGTGAGCACTCGAGATTATGATATATTTCTTTTAGTTTTAGTTGGGATATATCCTCTCCTAATATAGTCTAACTAAAAAAAAAACCCATGCTGTCAAAATATACACAGACTTGGTTTAGAGATTTAAATAATAAATACCTATGTAACTAAATTACTAAAATTTAATTTTTATGTTTTTAGACAATGTCCAGATCCAGATGTCACCTTTTTCATGTACTCAGCGGATCATCCGGAAAATCCAGAGCCGATTTATATAGCCACTCACGTCCGGGGTACGAATCTGGAAAAAACTTCATTTGATCCTCAAAAATCTAGTAAAGTGATCATACATGGCTACAACTCAAACATGTTTCTAAGTGCTCTTACGGAATTGAGAAAAGGTAAAGTTTTAGAGCCAGCAACGTATAGTTTGCAATGAACGAATAATTGAAATAAACCGTCCATTGGCTAAAGTCGGGTAATTGCGGCGCAATTAATTGATACGAAATTATAGGGGAACAATTTAATAACAGATTAGGGCTCTACAATAGATATCTGGCATCAAAACAATATTGTACGGGCTCTAGAAACTTTCTAAATGTTCAGTCAGCAAACGATCCATTTCGGATTCGCAACAAAAAATGGACCTCTGACAAGGAAACATTCATTACCATCTCTTAGATCAGTAGAACTACCATATTTGTATGCCTCATAAGAGAAGCATATCTTAGCTGTGTGCATTAGTGTGCAGCCTGTAGGTACCTCTGTTCCTCTAGAAACCATACGCACCAAGTGCCACATTCCGAGCACACGAATAGTTATTTATCTTGTATTGTCAAAACAAAAATGCGATTTTAAGCATACACGATAATCAAGTACATTTTAGAGCAGCTTAAAACGCTGACGAGAAGCTTATGGCAAATGGCAGCATATCCTGTCGTATAAGAGTTTTCTATTCCTTGATAAATAATCTTCGTCATGTCACTGATCTCTTGTTATCATATCGTGATCTCGAATCTCGCAATCTGGATCAAGTCTCGTTCGTGATCTTATTCTCCTTTATTTGCGAATGTTTCTGAACTATAAAATGGAATGGATTATTCTTATCGTTGGCAGCTCTTCTAAATTCGCATATTTACTTAATGCAAATATCGTATTTGAATGCATCTGTCTGTTGCTGATACTGACTATTCTTCGAACACTTTGTGCCAATTTACATAGTTCATCATTGTGTGTCTGTATATGCTTGCTGCAGAAAACAGCGATACCTTCTGCAATTTTTTCTCAGGATGAGCCAGACAGGTTCTGCATTATCTCTCGTCGAGATCTTGCCACGTCTTTCATTAAAAGTTCGCATTTACTGCACTATTTTTTGACATCAGCGCTACCGTAATCCCTCGCCCATGCCAACGTTCTATTGACTGAAGTGGCCATCATTCCGGCTTCCATGCAATCTACTTCGCACTCTGTCACAGATCACCTAATACAGATGCGTAAGTACGTATACTTGCTGTCGACGATATTCTGTGACGAAGCCGGGCCGCCAGCGGCCCCACGCATAGATAAAGATCGCCCGCGTCAGAACAATTATCGTGGCCGACTGCGTGAGCATGTTTCAGCCTGTGTGTTTACATATTTTTGCGGGTAGAAAAAAATATTTTTTGCTGTTTGTGAACCAATTAAAGAAATAATATTATATTATTGAGCTTCCACATTTATATAATAAATATGTTCAAAATACATTGATGTGGCATTGGTGCGGCCAGCCTATGTCTATCAAATTAATCTTGAACCACGAATTCGCCGCTCTTTCGCATCTGTATGTAAGTAATCTGTGACTCTGTTGTGGCTCCGAGTCTGATAAGGTTCTTTGCTTTTCCTATGTGGACTCCTTCAGTTACGAATGTTTCAGTAATGTCATATGTACAACGATTCCCTCTGAAGCGAGTAGGTTTTTCTCCCACCGTTTGGCCGAAACTCAATTTTCATCCATATCGTTGTCCGTTCCTAGTCAGTGTCGCATCTGTTCAGGAATTGGAACAGGAATTGGAACAGTTCCAATTCCTTGTCAGCATTTTATTCTTGTCCAATTTCTTCTTTGGTAATGTCCCCGTTGGTATTTGTATCAGTTCTGGTATTATCGGGTATCGGACCTGAGCTGTTGAACAAGTCCAGGGTTTGGGGCTGCCTCCTTTCTTTCCTGGCTTTAGCAAAATTTACTAGAGCTGTCAACAAGCTCTGCTATGGTTGGTTTTGAAGTCGTGACTTTGCAATTATTTCTCTAAACAACGCACAATTTAACCTGGGTTTCTAAAATCAAGCAGCTATTACAAGGCAGAATTATCAGATCCAATGACACATTTGTCAGCAGAAGAGAATGTTGTAGTATTCGATATATCCGACTACTATCAGATGCTCCTTTCGTTTGGTACAATAATTGTTTCTCTCTGCCTCTCTCAGTTAGTGATTCCCACGAGAGTCTCGTTTTCGAGAGTCTCGCATGGTCTCGTCTCGTTTTCGAGACGAGACTCGGACTGTCTCGGACAAGACGAGACGAGACTTTTATTGGTCTCGTCTCGAGTCTCGTGCGAGAGTCTCGTGTCTCGTGCAAAAGTCTCGCAGGTGAATATTTCTGCGTGCAGACAAAGAACACATATAATGTAAATATATGCAGTAGCCAGACTTTCGCGAAACCGCCTACCCCAGTTCATTGCCTACCCCTCCCATCAGAACTCTGTTGGCAGTGGCGTATATAACGGTGGGCGAATATTTTATATTTTTACAAAATATTTTTTATTTTATGTTTTCACATGACGCAATATTTTATAATTAGGTGCGTTAAAATTACCGCCATCCTGGGGGGGTTTATTTGAAATTGATGCAACTTGGCGCACACGCAAAAATGACGCAAATGACGTCAGATGCGAATGAAAAAGTGCATGTCAAATAAGCCGTGCACCAATTTTCAATCACGAATGACGTTATTTGCGTGTACGCAAAGTTCCATCAATTTCAAATAATGCCCCCCAGGCCTATAATTTATAATTTTCTGTTATTTTAACAGCAACGTTAAGTTATCTGTCACTTATTCTACACGTAAAAATAGAGATAGGTATAGACTTTGAGCTGTAACACAACTAAAAATAACAGAAGAGGATACATCATAATACTGTATTCCTTTTATACATGGAGTTACACCGAACCTGTCGCTCTAGAGCTCCTCGGAGTAACTCCAAAACATACAATTCGGATGTTATCATTATTATTTAATATTAACTAACATTACCTAAAAGGGCTTCTTGCTCAGGCGCACTTTTAAAAGAAACGTTCAATCTTTTGACATTGAGCCGCTCCGAGTAACTCAACGGGTAAAAGGAATACAGGGCAGAGTCGCTTATCAGTGACGAATTTTAAATACATAATCTTATTTTTCAACAGTTGTGAGTTTCTTTTTCTAATTTAAAATTTTAGCAAATAGGTAAGTATCCTGTACTATGGTTGAACCAAATCCAGGCGGCAGTAATGACAATGAGGAATTTGCAATTTTTTTTCTTATTCTCTTATTAAATTCTTCACATTATAAAAAGTGACTTGCCACATAAATTTTAGATTTTCAACTAATAGATTTTCTGTAAAAAAAATATAGAAATTCAAAATAATTCTCTTCGCGCCAAAACGCAGTCGTAAATCAATTACGTCACAAGACGATATCCTTCCAAGCGTCAAAACGAGTCTCTGTACTCCCTCCCTGTCTTATCCATTGTCAATTGTGTTTTATGTCATTGTTTGTGCGATTTACATGTGTGGTTTATTTTGTTGTCAAGTTTACACTCGTTTTTATTTTAATCGGTGGATACACCAATGAGTTAGCTATCTTTGTTTAGTGAATGGAAAATGATAATGACCGACATACAATGGTGGATCCATCGGTAGAATTCGATGTGAACACAAGCGTCTGACGGCTTACGTTTCACGTTAACATAACCACACTTTTGTTTGTTTATCGTTCGATGACGTCATAACCAATTTTAGAGCATTTTCGCGCCCATTGCTATTGAATACTTGGATAATTAATTAGTTATTAGGGGTTCAGTTTAAAGAGGATTTAAATATAGAAATATACTTCTTGAGTATTTTGCTCCACTTTAAATACATTTTCCATCAAAATAAAACTTGATGCAACTTCCTCATTGAATAACCTAAATTGTGTTGGTAATGCAGACTTTCTATTGGTTGAGACGCCCTACCTGGACCAGTGCGAATGCACGGAGAACATTTGATAGGTTGTAATGAAAATGACCAGTTATGCCATTACTGCCGCTTGGATTTGGTTCAACTATAGACTCTTAACTGGAACAAGATTATGCATGACGAGACTCCGAGTCATTTGCGAGACTCTCGTACGAGACTCGAGACGAGACTTAAGGCTGCGAGACGAGACTCGAGACAAGACTTTTTATTTATCGGCGAGACGAGACAAGACTTTATGAAAGTCTCGTCTCGTTGGTCTCGTGGGAATCACTACTCTCAGGGAGTTACCAAGATATTCGATGACTTCACTGCGATATGGGATAGAAACCTTCCTTTTCCAGTTTGTTTCTATCAAAAACAGTTCTTTACCCATGGTTTATGTAACGTCTCTTCAATATTTCCGAAATCCTTGACAAGCCTACGGTAGTAACTGCAGAGTCATAGGAAGCTTCTGATTTCATGTTTTGTATAAACTTTTCTTTGATCCTTTTTTTTAACCTTAAAAAAAAAGATATGTTCGAGAAAGGCACGCGATTGTAGGTTGGCATTCCGACTCCAAAAACTTTCGTCAAATTCAAAAAACGTTCGTCGAAAGCTTTGCTAATCATTATGACATCATCCAAGCATATAAAACTGGTCTCGGCGAGTCTTCTCAGACCTGAATTCATCAGAGTGATCACTCATCTTTCAAAATTGGCACGTCGACCAGCAATAACCATGGACTATTAAACTTTTTCATGACGTCATCGGCATTTCTTGAAGCATAGGGTTAACCTGGTTTTGCCTTGCGGAAGAAAGTGCTCGTGGTGTCTGGCAAATACCTTTGCTGGAAAAACTTGGTTGAAGTTGACTGAACAATATATTACAAAATTTCCATTTTCCTAGTCGTGTTTTCTCGATCGTCTCACTATTTTTTCGGTGTAACTTTGTCGAATAATGTAGTAATAGGCACTTGTTCTATCTTCAGTTCACTACTACCTATACCCAGTGTCACCGTGGTGTCATTATCTATTAATTTCCCTCTCGCTGCTTCCAGTACAGGTTTCAACATCACACAGTCTACTGGAAACTCGTCGAGGCGTACCATGGATGTTGTGCTGTGTGGAAGGTCGAATCATATTCTTTGTCATAAATGGCTAAGGTGTCTGCTCAATCCTAGGACTTGCTGCAGGTCCATATTTTTTACTCGACGATTGGACATTCATTTACCTAATGTAAGTTTCTGGTGCTCGTCGATATGAAAACCGGATTACACTCCACTGTTAATAACTCATACTATAAGTTTATATCTAATGCTCCTGGTCATGCCCAATCACACAATACGTGTGGTTTTACTCTAAAATACAATGGAACCCGAATTCTCAATTTTTTGATTAGTGGTGCTAATTGCACACCTGTGTCGAGCTTATTAGCTCGTATCAGTGCAATTTAAGCGAAAGCCAACTAACTCGGAGAAACAGGCACAGCTTAACACGTTGAAGAACAGAGACGCAGATCAACGTCATTTCGCTGATATGCGTCTTCAGATTGATGGTTGAAAATGATACGACGTCTTTCAGCGTTTGCATCTACCATAAAATTTAATGTGAATTCAATCGCCACTGTCACAATACGTTCGAATATCAGTGCCGTAGTGTCACACATTTGAAATTTATTTACATTCGCAGTCCCCCTCCACAAATAGAAACAGAACGCCGTCCAGGGTCTGCATCTTACAAAAATGTTCACTGTCCTTCAACGTGTTAAACAGGTTTACAAGAGATTCCAAAGCAAAACCAAAAAATTACCCTTTTGGGTATGGTATTAACAGTTGGTGCTACAACTGAAAACACTAGTGTTCTCGTTTATATCCCGCTACACTGTCAAGTGGTTTTTTGGAAATTTTCAAAAGTTCGAATCTCTGATGGGCTTTGCATTCTGCTCTTGAACTTGGCTAATGTCAGTTATGAATCGTCCTGGATGTTTCGCCTCCGACAGTGTATCGTTTAATGCTTGTTTAATGACCTGCATATTAGAGGGCTGATTATATCTGCCGTTTCAATTTATATCAAGTAACTACACATTATTTTTCTTATTTCCAGAATATTTGAAGAAAAACGACTACAATATCTTTGTAATCGATTGGAGCCCTTTGAATCAATCGCCCTGTTATCCTGCAGCCGTATGGAATGCTCGACATGTTGGGACATGTGTTGCTCAGTTGATCGATCGAATAAAAGATATGGGTGCTGAAGATATTCATGTAATTGGATTTAGTTTAGGTGAATTCCAGATCATTATAGCAGTACAATTGTTATCCACCTATTTTTAATATATTTTTTATACCTATTCAATTATGCGATGTCTATCATTGACAGAAAAATTATAAATAAAAAAGGGCTTCGATTTTTGGATCTTACTGGTTCACCTCGAAAAAAGACAGAGTATGCCTGCGTCTGAATAGTATTAACCTAGTATAGTCTAATCTCGTGGGATTTGCATGGAATAATTCCGAAAGAAATCTTTAAAGGGCTCTCCGCGAGGAGGGACCCCAAAGCCGGGGGGGGGTCTGATGTGTCGAACTCCCTAGAAAAGGGGTCCTTACAAGGCCTCACTAAGGGAATATCGCTTCTAAATCTAAAAGGAATAGGAACGGAATGAGCGAAGGCCAGAGGCAGGAGGATCAAGCTCGAAGCACAGTCCTCTGGCGAAGGCCTGGGCAACACTTCGGAACAGGGAAGGACCCAAGGATATGGGACAAAAAATCTCAGATCTGAGGGCAGTACTCCAAGATCGCAGGGGACAGCAGCGTTGGTAAAGGGACCCAGGGCTACCGGGGTCAAACCTGGGGGCCCCGAGATGGTTTCATACAGCGCCGCAACGTCTGCTGGTCTCGGGGTGACCATAGTGCCGTATAATCGGATATGAACAAGGGTGATCAACAAGCACGAGATACGGGATTAAAGGCTACGGCTGTTATTAACACTGTCTCTTTCAATTGGAGTCCTAAGCAATCATGAGGTACTTATTTCCTGACTCTGTTGTAGGAATATCAGATGCGATACCTATCGCAATTTTTCCCGAAAAAAACTAGACAAGTATTTCTAAATTTTTCCCTCGAGATTGCGTCTTGAGTCCTTTCTTGGAAGCACAGAGGTCGCTTGTACTATTCTTCGACACGTCTACTTAGTTGATCCAGAAATATCGATTTCTTACTCGAGTCAACGTCCTATTGACAAGAAAGTCCTCAATACTTCGACTTCTATGCAGTATACGTAACACTCTGTCTACGATGGTTCGCGGCAAAAGTGTCTGAGGTACTAGGCTTTTCCCGTTTACGAGTGACGAGTGACTAGGTGATCCCGCACGCTTGAAGCCATTATCCATTCACCGTATAACCAAAACTGTGAATTTATTGCCATCTAGGATTAGAAATGGTGCGTGCCACTTCCAACTCCTTGTCAGCATTTTGTACTTTTCCGAAGACTTTTTTGGCAATGCTCTTATCGCCATTTGGATCAGTTTCGTTATATTTGACTCCTATCTGTAGAACCCAAAATACATGGTCCTCGTAGAGAGGCAATCAGCGTTAGTATGACTTCTTCCTCCGCGATGTTCAATTTGGGAGTCGCAGTTTTGTATTTTCCCCGAACTGTCCGGCGAATTGGGGACTTTTGAAATTTGACACCCTTTTATAGTTGCTTTTTTTCTAAAATTAGACTCAATATGGATACTCTGTAAATCAACAATACTTTCTGGTGATTCTAATTGGAAAAAGTTAAATAAACCTAGTGCTATACTTATATTATTCAATTTTCCAGGTGCACACATAACCAACTATTTGTCGCTAGCCTTGCGACCTTATATACTGCCAAGAATCACAGGACTAGATCCGGCCTTGCCAGGGTATATAACCGTAAATCGGGACCAAAAATTGGATAAAAGCGATGCCCAATATGTGGATGTCTATCATACCAATGCTTTTATGCAAGGCAAAGCAGAGGAAAGTGGCCACGTAGATTTCTATTTCAATGGCGGATCGGTGCAACCTGGATGTTGGGGAACGGATAGTAAGTATTTGATGGTATTGAGTCGTTTAAGGAAAAATCATAGGAATGCAAATTTCGAAATTGAAATTAATGAGAACACGCTCAAAATTAACGAAATATATATTTTGTTACTTTTTAGCCAATTGATTCGGTACTCAGGGTAACTAGGTATAATCAAAAATGGAAAAAATTAACTTAATATGAATCAATAATAAATTGTAGACGAATCTTGCAACGAATTACTGCTCTTGCAATGGCCAGCAAAGCGAAAGAAATTTTTTATCGTCTGTCAATAAAAATATTCCACCTGCACAACAGAACTTTTCCCAGCAAACATAGAACGCGGAAAGAGTTTCCAATTAGTGAATAATCCTACAGCATCAGCTCCTACTAATTGACCTTGGAGGAAAACTAATATCAATTTTTACGTAGAATGAATGGCGAACCCCTCGTGTAACCCCTTTTGTGATTTAATTAACAAGAGACCCATAATATGCTCAGTTTGCTCAGCGAATAATTATTAGGGGTGGGTCAATAGTTTAATAAGTACAGAATGGCAGGGGCGCCACTGAATTTGTAAAAAAAAAATAAAAATAATTATATTACATAAAATATTGAACGGTGAAAATTCAGAAACACACCTTAAAAAAAAAAATTAGCAAACGGTAATTGATAATTCTGAAAAGGAAATAAATAAGGTATAAAACTCAACCAAATCTTGACATAGGTAAATCCAATAAAACACTCGAGCAACTTTCAAATCAAAATAGTATATATTATTTTCACAGTGAGATCTAAAATCAAGTATTGAATAGTTTCAAAATATAAAACCAATTGCTGGTAAAACACTTTAAGTAAAATCAATAAGTAGAGGTTATCTCTCAATCAAATTCAACAGATTCCAAAAAAATAATAATATTACAATGTACCTCAATATACTTGCCCTATAAGTTCATTAACAGTCGCTGACCATATCATTAATTTGAAAAAAAAATATGAAGGATTTAAGTTTCCAGAAAATTAATAAAAAAATTAATGATTGAAAATTATATTATTATTATATGGGTAAATATGGTCAGCTGCTGCCAGAGAAATAAAAACACTAAAATCAAATTAAAACTGTATGAAATCAAAAGTTGAACTTTGGAGGTATAAAGGAGATATAACCGAAATCCTATAAGTTATTATAGAACCCAAGTGAAAAATTGATCAATTTTTGACGATGTAGGTACTTACTCAATAATTTTAAATTAGAACGTATTGTCTAACCTTGACCTCAGTTCAGATTAATGATTATGATTAATAAAATTTACATTTCTTAATTATCATAAACAAAGATAAATCTACAGGGTGTCCCAGAATATGTGGGCAATCTCTCGGATTCAGATAAAACACAAAAAAATAACATGGCAACTTCCTATAAAAAAATTCCTACGGCCCCCCCTTCGAAGTTACGTGCCCCTAAAGGACGCCTCTGAAAATTGGTTTTTTGTTGATAACTTTCAAAATACTTCGTGTAATTTTTTTTCTTTTAATATGATGGATACTAGATAAGACCCCTTAAAATGGACCCTCTCAAACACACTTGACCAATCTAGTTTGCCAGGGACGGACTAGCTTTAACGCAATATGACACTAAGGAAATATTAGTAGAAAGGATTAATTTTTACTGTCGCGAAATAAGGGCTAATATTGAAGCATTGTCGAGAGTCGAACAATCTTTCATTAAAATAGTTATGGAATGCATAAGATTAAAAAGATCTAATGTTGAGTGGACATAAAAAATTATTTAATAAAAAACCATTAATACACAAAAACAGATTTTTCTCGAAACCAGCTCATTTTTTCGACATCGAATAAGAGTACCTTTTTTCTAGTTCAAGGTTGAAACTATCTTAAAATATTATTGCTATGCCTATATCATACAGGGTGTAAAAAAAATTAGCATTATTGTGTTAAAGCTACTTCGTCCCTGGCAAACTAGATTGGCCAAGTGTGTTTGAAAGGGTACATTTTAAGGGGTTATCTAGTATCCATCATATTAAAAGAAAAAAAAATACACGAAGTATTTTGAAAGTTATCAACAAAAAACCGATTTTCAGAGGGCACGTAACTTCGTAGGGGGGGCCGTAAGAATTTTTTTTTTATGGGACGTTGTCAAGTTATTTTTTTGTATTCTATCTGAAACCGAGAGATTGCCCACATATTCTGGGACACCCTGTATAATAAATTCGATAAATTAAAAATCGGAAATAATTATTTAGGGTTCACTTCGGTGTCAAGAAAGTGAAATTGAAATTTAAAATATTTAAATGTAATGTCAGTAAAAATAATCAATTATGGTAATTGATCATAAAGCAGATTTCATAAAAAAGGTAATGAAAGTTATAAATGAATATCTATACAAGCCTCAATTCCGACAAAAAGGTAGAGTACGGTAGTCATCCATTTTTTGTCACTTGACGAGGGAAGTTGCAAATGAAAGTTGCAGATTCTAGCTTGGAATCAAGGTAGATAGGGGCTAGTAGTTCAGTTTTTTTGTCAAATGTGGAGGTACAGGTATCGACACGTGCGGGACTTGATTCCTCTGGGAAATCACTTCAAAAACTCTATGCCCACGCTGCACGAAAACGGTGATCTATAGGGCTTGTTGAAAATGGATTTCTTGAGAAAAACGGCTCCTCGGAAAAACAGCTCCTCTCTCTTTTTTTTTGGGATGGTTCCAGGTAGAAAATGGGGGTGCATCATACGAATTTTTAAATATCATTCTTACATCAATATTCCCTGAAAATTTGAAAAGCCTAGCATCAGCCCTTCAGATGATATGAAAGGGGGTTGTTTAAATTTCAACACCCTATATTTTGGAAACGACGCCCTTCCGACCATCGGTGTCCTGTTTCAAATTACTTCTCTATGGTTCCTCTATATACCCTAGCATTTGTGACCAATTGAACAGAGACACCCTGTATAATACAGTATCACATATTTTGAATGCGCGCTCCGCTTTATCACGCTATATTTCGAAAACGGTTGGTCGTACAAAAAAATGTATATGAACAATTTTGTAGAAAATACTATTTTACGTTTTGTTTTGAGTTCTTTGACGTCAGATGCACTGAAAGCGAGATTTTCGCAAAAAAAAAAAACGATTTTCGTGACCTATGACCTTCGATATCTCAAGACGCACAAGGATGCCTATTCGATTTTTCTGTGCTTCATTAGAACATCAAAACGAAGGTCTCTTTAAAAATTCAGCTTGTTCGGCCTCATTCCGCAGATGGCCCTTTTTTTGGTCTAATTTCCCTGGGGTATAAAATGTTAAAAACAAGTGCCTGCATTAAAATTGTGATGGTTGTAATTGTTGTAAATAAAATAGTACACAAACCTCGGTAGGAAGTACCATTCCTGTCTCGAGATTATAGTTAACTAACTAATCTCTCCACACTAATGAAACACTTCCCACCTCGGTATGTGATATACTATTTAACGATTTGCTTATCCATCAGGTCACGTGTTTAGCTTGAACCCATTCATATAACAATAAAATTTGAATAAAAAAATATTTTTTTTTTTTTTTTAGATTTCTTCTCTTGCAATCATCATCGCGCCCCTTTGTATTACGCTGAGTCGATTAATTCTGACACTGGATTTTATGGCTGGAGGTGTACCAGCTATTTCGATTTTCTTGCCGGGCGGTGTCCTACCAATGAGATTCAAGTGAAGTTAGGTGAATCAACCAAGAAAGATGTTTTTGGAACATATATGGTACAAAAGTTTAGACCTGTCTTAATACATAATAATTTATAATACAAACATTTCAAAGGTAATCACTGCGCCATCTCCACCATTTGCTGTCGGGCATTACAATATTACCTTCGGATCCAAACTACAAAAACCTTCTGAAATTGTAAATAACATGCCCATCAACTACCAGCAACCTATTTCTAATATGGTAGGAATAGAAAAATATGAACAAGATATAGTCATGCCTTCCACCATTGAAGAAGATGAGCTTTTCAATGAAGTTTTGAATGAAAATTTCCCCGACGCCTTCATTGGTATGCAGAAGTCATCCCCTGACAATGATCTGGCATAGGTTTTCTTTGAGAGGATACAAAAATTGAAGTATTGAAATTGTATTTATTGATATACAAATTTGTTAGTTATTATTATTTATTTTTTCAATAAACAATTTTTTGTTTTATTAAATAAGCAAGAATCAATCACTGTTTTGCACTTGAGTCTTGAGTCGTCTTACTCCGAATGAAATACAATATTTGTGTGTGTGCACAATTTTTAATTTAAATTATGACATTCATATTTAGAAGGATCACCTTTATAAGCAACAATACCTGCATGTACAGGGTGGCCCGTTTAAGAGGGGCCTATACCTCATCTCGAAATCTACAAGGGCTGTGAAAAAAAAATTAAATACAAAAGTTGTTTGTTGTTTCTTATAGAATTATCTAAAATTTTTTTGCATTGTTTTTGTTGTTACTTTACTATATACAGGGTGGACAAGTAAAGTTTCATTTTTTTTAATGGAACACCCTATAATTTAAAAAACTTTTACAAAGCCCTTTGAAAGAAAAATCCAACGATATACTGGACATGTGTCTGTGATACACCGTCTCGAACTTATTAGCGGTTATCTTCAAGGTTTGGGGTAATTTTCAACAGTCATTGTAACGTTACTCATAAACTTTTTTTTTGCATGATATTTTTCATAAAACAATGCTCTTCTTTAGACTATATTTATGTTTGAAATATTTGTTTAAAAAAAGCTGTGTTGCCACGTTCCGCATAATGTTACGCTTTTCAATTTTTTTATTAGAACCTCCTGTAAATTTTCGAATTTTTAGATAGCTCTTTAAAAGACAAATTGATTAAAAATCATACATTAATGGTGACATTATTGAACGATTTTTCATACAATAATAAAGTACGTTGATAGAGGGTAGACGGAAAATAGGCATTTTTGTTATTCAGCAGGCGAAATGGACAGATGAAATATTGTGCTAGAACTGAAGATGATCGCCAATCAGGCCGAATCGGTGCATCACAGACCCATTTCCAGTATATCGTTGAATTTGTCTTTTAAAGGGCTATCCAAAAATTCAAAAAATTCACATGAGGTCCTTTAAAAAAAATGAAAAGTAACATTTTGCAAAACGTGGCAACACCGCGCTTTTTAAACAATATAGTCTGAGGAACAGCATTTTGGATTTGTCTTTCAAAGGGCTATGTAAAAGTTTATTGAGATACAGGGTGTTCCATTAAAAAAAATATATTTGTCCACCCTGTATGTAGTAGAGTGACAACAAAACCAATGCAAAAAAATTGTAGATAATTTTATTAGAAACAACTTTTGTTTTTAATTTTTTTCACAGCCCTTATAGATTTCAAGATGAGGTATCGGCCCCTCTTAAACGGGCCACCCTGTACAGGTGAACTACATATATAACGGCGTATAAATGTTCTACTCAGCCGGAGTATAACATTTATACGCCACTCAAGCTCAAAGTCATTGAAGTGACTCTTAAACCTTGTCAAAAAGATCACAATAATTACTGTTATATGACGTTTAAAAATAAACTCTAAGATGGATCAATAGATAACTTTGAAACAAGGTGACACATACAATAATATTTATGCCAACTATCTGCAGTCTGCACTCAATACACGAGTTTATTGCAATCATATAGGAATAATATGATATACACCTGAACACCTGATCTAATTAACTCTCTCATCTAAATTATAGTGACATTTCTTGAGACTTTAGCCCATGCTACCACCCCTGACCTATATTGCGTCAACACTGAATATTTTTCAAACAATGCTAGATTTTGAAATGTCCAAGAAACACACATTTAAGAGCGTAATTTTTTTCAATGACAATTCTAAACTGATTTTTTTGTGTGTATATTTTCTGAAATTTTAGTGACACTATTTTTCAGAACCCTTCTAGAACGGTTCTGCATTCTTAGGTCTAGTTTCATGGGTATGGGCCATCAAGCGTATGCGCAAACTTCGCACTGTTCCCCATACTTTCTAGGATCGAACATCGATTGGCACGGTTTCAGGAATGCTTTTTTGGTATCCTTCTCATTTTGTGTCTAACCTTATCTCACTTTTCGTTCGGTCTGGGTCGGTGTAAACTTAACGTTCCCAACTAGACTGATAGCCCCAAAGTGTGTTGTAGTATAACATACCCGGGTTCGTTCAGCAAGATTGAACGGTTCGAATTTTTTATCTCTTTTTAAACAACAAATCTTCTGAAAAACGAAATGAAAAACAAATAGGACCTACCTACGCTGTGGAAACTTACTTAATTTTACTTACTTGATATGCGCCCGACAATAGCAGAATTAGCAAAATTTAAGGGAAGTTGTGATATGTAAAATAAACGAAAAATTTGTGAAACGTCTAATTTATTATTAGAAAATCGTTACCGTTCACCTGGAACTCACGAGGGGAAAGAGCATGGCAGAGAAACCCTCGATCTAACATTCCTCACAAATCAAAATATACTGTGTCACTTCAATAATTGTGAGTCAATAAAAGTTTAAATTAGGTACCGTCCCTTTTTCCTTGTGCTTAAATTTTAATTCCACACACCACATTTAATCAACACTACCTATATTCAATACTGAAGAGTTTTTGGTTAGTTAGCCAGTCTGCCAGCAGGTACTGAGGTCCCGTACGGGAGGCTACTGAGCTATAGTTGTTATTTTGAGCCGATATCTCTAGATTGATTTTTCAATTTGTTTGCCAGGATATTCGTTCATCAGGGTAGGAAAATGTTTGTAGATTCAACAAGGTCCTAATGTACGCTCTGAATACCAAAAATCAAAATCTCATCAGCACAAAAGACAGCACATAATTTTTCCAGGTTTTAATTTACTCTTCTTTATCTTATCTGCATTGCTCACAGCATGAAACGATTTTTGTTAAATACATGAACAATGCACATAATATAGTATAAACAAACAAAAAAATATAAAAATGAAAAAAATACCTAATACTTGTATAAATTGAACTCTCAAAAACAAAATAACATTTATTCAACTGACCTGTGAATACTCCTTATGGCACAGAAACTAATCACAAATTGAATTGAACAATCAATTTAATACAAAATAAAAATTGAATAATGAACAATGGCGAAGAAGCTTCTTTTTGGTCTTTCATTTTCTGTCTCCTTACCCTTTCGGTACCTTTTCGTGTGGCGCGTCCCGTTCCCAAACATTTCACAACGCATACATGGTTGCAACATTTACCAGTGTAAAAATGTTAAGATTTGAAGAAATAATATTGTAAATAGGTGGTTTTCCTCAGTGTTCATACCTACTTGTGAAAAAAGTAGTAAGTAGGTAGGTACTTTAAACTTGTAAATTAATTCCGAGATAAAACTAGATACCAAATTAGACGAAGAGGATAACGTTTTAGGTCGGAAGGTTTCAAATAACTTGCTCTTTATGTTTACTTATCATTATTGATGATTGATTAAAATTCTAAAATTTCAAATAACAGCTATTCAAATACATACCTAATCACAGACGCGCATGGCAGATGGCAAGTACCGCAATAAGCATCCCGAAACCTTTCTACAACCATGACAAAATTACTTGGAACGCAGAAGGAATCGTTCTTAGAAGGATATCTATTAACGTGGACAGCTTTTGGTAATATGCGCATCTTGGAACAGATTTGTTTTCCCCTATCTCTAGACTCTAAGGCCTGTCCGACTTACTTGTCCCCATGCACTGAAGCCTAAGAAGGCTTATTGTACTTAGCCTGTTTGGTTAATACCAACTACGCCAGTATTTTGGAGCCCTGTTGTACAGGTCTGTTAAGCTGTGGTATTTCCTTTCGTTTCCGATCTATATTTAGTTGCACGAAAATGGTGTGTCATCTGCGATCCAGTGCCTCGCAGTTTACCAGGATGTGTCTGGCTGTCTCGGGGTCCTTATTGCATAATCTGCAGTAAAGGTCTCCGTTATACAGGTTTATCCTGTTCAGGTCAACCTTTTCTGGTGAGTGATGTATATAGCCAGTCATGTTGACGGAACATACTTTATAAAACATTCATTATGGAATCTGGCTCGAGCATGCGGCAACTTCTGAAGCTTTCAGCTTGCAACCCTCTAAAAAAATCCGATATCACTCAAACTTGAAGTTTGTAACTAAATATTTGATTTGTCTGGAACGGCTAAACAAATAAAACCATATTGACTAATAATAATAATAATAATAATAATAATAATAATAACTAAGCAAAACAAGCTCAACAATCAACATTTTATTTGAAATAATCTGGTTACGGTATCGTTATCGTTTAGTGCTCTGGGTGTCCTTGAATTTGTTACCTTCTGAAGCAAATGGCTGTTACCAATTTATAAAAGTGTTCTGGCAACCAGATATCAAGTTTTTAATCTATTTTCAGCTATAAGGTCGAGAGAGTGTGCGCGTTTGCTAATCGTGAAAACAAATTTTATAAAATGTATTTCACTTTAAGAAAGGACAAAAATTGAACTGCGAATATTTCTATTCAGGAATTATAGAGCATATTATAAAGAATATTAAAGATTGGTACTGTAAGTTATCCTATCAGAATCTCAGCTATGTGAGGCATTTTCGAAGGAGAAACAACCTACAGTTTGTTGATTGCGAAAAAAAAAATGATTGCAAACAGTGCTTTACAGGAAATCAGCCTAAGTCGCGCTATAAAATTATAATGAGTCTAGAGTGACTGCACCCGTGAAAAAGGTACATGCAGACTTTTGTGGACCAAAGACCGTATCTTCAGGAGGTTCTAGGTACCTATCTTTTGCTATATAAAGATGATTACTCGAAACAACAGATAGGTACATCTGCCTTTTGAGGCAAAATCTGAAGTGGAAGTGAGTATTGAAAACTTTAAGTCACTTGCTGAAAAAGAGACTGGTTGCAAGTTGAAACTCCTATAGACAGATAATGGACCAGAATTTTCAAATAGTGAAGAACGAGAAATACTACAAAGTCGTGAAATGAAACATCAAAGGACTGTAGTTCATACAACTCAGCAGAACGGGAGAGCTGAACGAAAACATCGAATTTTGGCGGAAGCAGCCAGAACTATACTATATTCAGAAGAAATAATAAGCAAGCTCTTTTGAGCTGAAGCGCTAAACAACGTAACTTATACTCTAAATCGTATTGGACCAAGT